GATCCATGCTGATTTTTTTTCTTTTTTTTCACGTTATTTAGTGCGTCAATTTCTCTCTTTTCTGTCTTTCTTGTTTTTAAGATCATTTAGAATAAATAAGTCACGTGTTTCCATTTAGTTTTCCATTCCTGCCTAAATCCGGTTCAGGTTGGTGGCGTCATCAGGTTGACATTTTCCCAGGCCTTTAGCAAGGACTAATAGAGAGGCATGTAAGGTAGCTGAGATCCAAATCATAGTTTTTCTAAGGTTTGTTGTAAAAAAAAAAAAAGAAAAGTTTTTAGCTGTACAATCAGTAATGATCCAAACTAGGCAACATGGGGAATAAAGAGTCAAGGTTCTGTCTCCGTCTCCAAAATGGTGGCCTTTTAAAAATTGAAGAATGTGAATTATCTGAAACCGCAAAACGACGAAGATGAGTGGAAGAGAGTCGGAGGCCTGGTGCGACTGCAACTTGAACCAGTCCGAGTAACATAATCATCTGTTTATCACTCACAGCTGTGCTGATATTTTCTCTCTGGCTTTTCGGTTTACTGCTCGCTCATAACGAGGTTTCATGAATATGCTAACAAGGTGGAGGGCTCCTTTACATTAGCATAGAAGCTACCAAAGGTTTTGGGGTTTAATTATGAAAGTTACCTTTTTCCGACGTTCCTTTACAGAAGTACTCCCTCCCTTTGAACGTCACATCAACATTCAACACACTTTCTTGGGCATTTTATTATTATTTTTTTGTATGATGGACCAACAAAAAGTAATAAGTTGTGAAGTGGAAGGAAAATGATGCATGGTTTTCAAAATTTCTTAAAAATACAAATCTGAGATTGAATTCTTTACTCTTTTTTTTTTGGCAAAGTAACTCTGGCTCAGTTAGACTGGATGTATGTGTGAACAGCAATAAGTTTTACCACAGCTTTTCAGTTGGATTTAGCTCTGGACTTTGACTGAGCCATTGTAAGAAACAAATATGCTAACTATTCTTGCTAGAAGGTGAACATCTGCCCCAGTCTGACCAGCTTTCCTGTCCCTTTAGAATAAGCTTATCCCCACAGCATGATGCTGCCGCCGCCGTGTTTCACCGTGGGCGCCACCTCTGCTTCTGAAAAGGACACAGCTTCCGCCAGCGTGTCAGGTGTGACTTTTAGAGGCAATCGGGTCGCACCGGTTTTTATTTAGGGGCATCATATTATCAGATTATACACGCACACCAAGTCTTCCAGGTGTTATTTCAAAACCAAAACCGCGTATCACTTTTGCTACACTTCTCAATTGTTAGTCTGCTGCATAAAATCAAATGAGTAGTTTTTACGTTTGTGGCTGTAGCACGAGTAAATGTGGAAAAGAAACGAAATACTTTTTGCAAGGCGATGTATCGTAGGCAGTGATTCTATTTAGATCTTACCTTGAAGTGGATCGAAATGCAGAGCTGGATCCCTTCGGACCTCCTACTTGAGCAGCCAGCTCCGTGGGTCTGCAGCCTGCTGCGTGTGTCCACGCTGCTGCTTGCACTGACTCTTTGAAACGTCGCCGCTGCGTTCGTTCCAGTCCACGTCCGCCTGTCCTCGTCTTGAACACATCCAGACGCTCATCCCGCTGCATCAAATTTGATTCATCATTAACACCTTTTTACTCCCAAAATCATTCGTTTTTTAAATTTTGTTTGTTTCCTAACATTCGAACTCCTGTCTGTTGCTCCGTTTGTGTTTATTAATCGAAACCTTTTCCGTCGATACAAACACGGTTCTCAGGGATAGCGTAGCAGTTAAAAAGGGAACGAATTTGCTTCTTTCCAGCTGAATCATTCTGAGCCCTTAGGCCACCGTACTAAATATTGTTTACATTTGTATCTCAAAAACACACGTTTCATTTGTTTTCCCCTCTCTTTTTCCCCCCTTCGTAAATCGATTGAGGCGTGTTGTTAGTAGAGGTTGCTGAACCCTTTATTGTAAAAAAAAACCAACAACAACAAAAAACAATATTTTTGAATAACTTGTTCCAGTGGAAATGGCTGAAATGTTCTGCCTGGAACCAAACATGGTTTTATACCCAGTTGTAATTTCATTGTCTGCGTGATCGTCCATGAGTGTTTCATGCAGTGGGGTGGAAGAGGACGTGCCGCTGTAATTAAGGTGGCGTCCTCATCTCATTAAGCAGCAACTGCCTTTCATTCATCTTTCCACCAGTTGATGTTCAGCAGCCGCCCCACTGATGGTGTGTACGTTTGTTGAATAATCGAGAGGTTTCTTCCCAAAGGTATTCATGTTCTGTGGGTATTTTTTCACAATTTATGCCAAGAAGTCATTGTTGCCTTTTGTTGATTTTTTGTTTTGTTTTGTTTTTCCTCTGTGCCCAGCCATATGTACAGTTTTGACCCTTGCAGTAAGAAAGTAAAATAAAGCCAAACATTTCCAACATTTTGTTTGATGTTTCTATGAAATAAATGGTTCTTTTTTTTGTAAATCATTTCCTTGATGTTGGCATTTTTAGTTTTTTTTTTTTTTTTCTATCTAAAATAATTTGACGAATGTTGAAGTAATTGCTTGTGAATTTGGTATTGACGTTTATTGCAGCAGGAAAAATAACAAAGTGGAGCCGGACTGTCAGAATAACCTTGTTGGGTTGCTGAGCTAATGGACCGTCCTGGTTGATGCAGGTTTGTCCTTGCTTTTATTTTCCTTTTCTTCTTTTTTATCCTTAGAATCTTTAAAAATTGAAGCATATCGACCAGATGGAAAATCTCCACATTCGTGTTGCTGATGTATCTGATAATTAGGCCCCCCAAAAAAATCTCATCAGAGCAGATGGTGTCGGTTTATAGAATGAAAGTGAAATGGTGGGAGTTCATAGTTTGAATGCATTTTGTAAACAAGGAAATCAAATTATGATCTTTTAATTTAATTTCTTTGGTTTTTGACAAATACACAACTACATTAAATAATGCATTTGCATTATTCTGTAAATAATGACACTTTTAATGCAAAGATGCATTCAAATTTGCATTGAAAGTCAATTAAAATTGTCAACTTTACATTAAAAGTGTCATTACTTGCCAAATGACACTTCATGACGGTCATAAATGTCGAAGATTCCTTCATCTTCATGGCAGTGAAGTCTCTTGTGCACACCCCGTCAAATAAAGTGTCACCACATATGGTAGATGTAAAGAATTCCTTAAGCTATGATCACATCTAATTGAAAATTTGCATTTATGCATCTGAATTACTTGATTGTGCATGCATATATATATATGTATATTGTTTGTGTTTGTTTACACTGTGTCAGTGCAAATGACGCCGTCTTCCTCACACCTGCCACTTTCTGCATTAAAACACTGAACCCTGTGGATATTCATCAACCTGTCAGCTGCAGCACACATCTATCATCCACTTCCCCTCCGTCTCTCTGGCTCCCACACACAAGCACACACACTTAGCCTACGGGGGGGTTGTGGAGCATTTCCCTTCAGGCTGACACATTGTTGTGCTCTGGGGAGATTGCAGAGGAGGTATGCGTGAAGGACGAGGCCACTAACAATTTCTGTGCTGCTGTTTTCATTTCCTTTGTCACTTTTTTCCCTCTCTCTCTCTTTTTAGTTTTACGTTTGAAGAGAAACTGATGCAAATTGAAGAAAATGCTGATGCCGTGAATGGCCTATTTTAGTTCTGAGTGGAGCACTAAAACTTGGCAAGCAATAGATAAATACTATTTATTATTCATTTTTTTATATATTACAGCCATAACCTAAAAAAGAAAAAGTGCCACCACATCAGAAAGGCTGAAAATCATGCTTTCTGCTGGTGTTTAGTGATGAAACCAGATACTTGGAGAAGCATTGCAACTCTAAAAGGCTTTAGAATAGACTGTCTTTATATTAAAGGTATAAGGATATCCATTTGTAATTATCCAATTATCAATTGGAATATCATTGAGAATTTAATTCATTTCAGCAATTCAAATCGGAAAGTGAAACTCATTTTGCACAGAATAATTCTTAAAGCTGTTCTCTTATTTTTGACGGTCATGGCTTACAGCTAAAGGAAACTCAATATTAAAAATTGTTGCTATAAAATGGTTGTTTCTGATTTTAAAAGAAAAAAAATTCTTAGCATTGATCTTTAGAGCTTTATATTGTGAAGTTAATTAATGCTTCTTGCATTACACTATTATAGTCACTGTGTGTATTCCTTACAGTATTTACATTCTGAGATTTCCAAAAGGCTAAAAACATTTCTAAATACAGCATATTTTCCTCATTTGCAAAGACAGAAAATTCACACAGCCACAGCATGCCTTAGAAAATAGTTTCAATTTAAACAGATTTTTATACCTTTCCTTAATTCTAAATATTCTAAATTCCTTCAAGGCATCATTTTATGCTGTTGCTGTCAACGCCGTCCTGTCTGGTCACTGATAAAAATATATGTTTTTACCTAAAACTGGTTCCATGATTCACAGCTTTCTTAAATTGCTTAAATATTACTGTCTCAGTTTTTCCCTCTATTTGACTTTATGCTGTTAAAAGATAGTTATGAGGATTCCCTCTTAAGAGTTACAAAGTTCAGTTTTCTAGTTTCCTATATCTGCCTGCTTTAATGTGGATTTCTCCCAAATAACATATTTAAGGCTTTCCAGCTCAGGTATGCAGGATTCGTCTCTCAAATGGCAGTTGTTGCTTAATCTGAAGGTTTAGATTCCCCTCTTCCATTTTTATATTGAAAACAAATTAACGAATTTGAGCTACTTAAAATTCATCATTATATTATTTAACGCATTTTAAAAATGATTTCATTGCATTTTATTTTGCGTGTCTTTGGCTTACGACTTTTTTTTATACCCACAATGCAAAGCGAAGCAGCCACGTAAACGATAACATCCTCACGTCGCTGCCTGCTAGCTACCTCTGCTTCCTGTGTGTGTAATATGCCCATTGCAGCCTATTATACATAACTACATGATGCAAAACTTCTTCAACAGGTACAGTTTTTGTCAAATAGCTCTGCCAGTTTCTCTGAGATGTGAATTCATTCTACTTTGAGGCTACAGCAAACCAAAGTAGCTGAATGTTAGCTCCCGGGCTAGCCGATTCTGCTAATGTTGTTAGCTCCCTTGCTGGCCTGAGTTTTCTTGCAGCCTGAGTTGATATTTTAGAATAAATTAAACTGTTTTAGTCCTTTTAATCGGTCAGTTACTCGGGTATTTGATTTATAGCACTGTTATGTCCGCATAAGTCCAATGAAGATGCAGTTCATTTAATGTAATTGGATTTTAGCGTTAGCTAACCTTGCTTTGATTCTACTAGCCACTACAGAGTCTCTTTTTGTTGAACTCAAACGTAACTTTGAATTGCAGGAAAGGGAGGTTTAATGTTTAATTCACCGAGAACGCATGCAGTCAGTGTTTCACATGACTTCCTGTCAGCGTGCTTTCATTCAGTCGTGGAGCTCTCCGTGGTTCTGACGCAAGGGACCACCCCACCTCCAGGTTTTGGTTTTAAATTGCATTAAAATGAGTACTACACTTTAAATGAGCTACAAAAGGATAACTGAACAGCATATTAGTTGAAATCACTCCTGAGCTAGCTGTGGGGTTAGAGTAGATGAATAAAAAAAAAAGTCCTATTTTTGGGTATTATCCTGTTGTCGCTAACGAGTATTTTTAACACCAACGGATGATAATAAAGGTAAGTAACCACAGGTGTGTGATTTGGCATTTGTCGTCTGTCGGAACACATATACTCTCGATAGTTTTTAAAAAGTTTAACCTGTAGTGTGCTATATTTCAACTAAAATTTGTCCAACGCCCTCAGCTGGAACAATGTACAAGCTAGTAGCATTTTTGTAGTAAAAAAAAAAAATAAAAAAAGTCAAACAATAACAAATTTAAATCTTTTAACATAACTGATATTACAAATGCCTTCACAAAATTAAAAATTCCAACAGTCACGGTGTGATATTGATTATTAATATTGTACAGCTATATTGATTACTATTCAAGAAGAAAATAGCCTTCACCTCACCCCATTTAAGATGATATTTGTATAATTGTGTACCACTCAGCAGGTTTTCCTAATGTTTCTTGGTTGTTTATGAAGAATAGTTCGGTCATTAATTGCCTTTTTGAAGAGTCTTACTATGAATTTTAACCTCCGTTTACAGCAAATCAGTGGGACACCCTCAACTGTAAAATGTCGATGGTGTTGTTTGCCTCTGTGGTTCGCGTCGCGGACGGTCTGCCTCTCTCAGCATCCACCGACTGCGAACAGGAGAAAGACCTCCAGGAGACGAAGAGGCATCTTAAGGGTCTCTCCAAGAAGCTCAACCAGTTCCCTGACCGCTGCACACTCAAGTCCGGACCGTACAATGTGAAGTACGTCCTGTTCTGTAGCATTTCTTTAAATGATATTACATCTAAGAGGTAACATGTGCTTTTGTTTTTATGTTAACTTACAGTAAGTAGGTCAGAAAACATTATGCAGTCAGTTTGCGAGTCTATAAAGTTCGATATGAAACAGCAGTTTTGATCATTCAGTTTCATCTTTAGGAACTGTGACAGTTTTCCTACTTCTTTCTTGTTTTTCTTTTTTAAACGTTTTTATTGAATGGTACCATCTAATGTGTGTAAATCTAAAGCCAGGGCGCCCTTTAGGCTTTCTGTTTCAAAGCATTAATTCTGAAAGCCCAGCTGGTGCTCTTGGGAAAGCCTTTGAAATGCTTTTAAGCGGTGTTTGTTCGGCGCCAATTAGCAACGATAAGAAACAGGACATGACCTTAAGGGGAATGAGACAGTTACACCTTTCAGCAGCAAGAGCTTCCCTTTGATTAGCCCGTCTTTAATTTATTTAAGCCTGAAGCATATGATGACTGAAGTGAAGGTCAGAATGACGCTTAGTTGTTAGAGATCACATCTTAGCCTTTTTTTTTTGTGATGTTCACGACCATTCAGACGCTTTCATGTGACATTTGATGCATTAAAATCTCTAGAGTCTTAAAGCTAAATTAATTGTTTTTATGTGTTAACTATATTAGAACATAATAGAGATCTGACAGGATTAAATAATACCCTGGTATTCCATCATAAATTACTTTAAACTCTCTAATAAGTTCATTTATGCAGGCTCGTCTGGTGCGAAAGCTTTGCATATTTCACTAGTTATACAAAGGCTTTTGCTTGGCTTTTTGCTTTTAAGATTTACTGAGCCAGATGTTATTGATTTTTATTATGATTACATTAGTGAAGGTGATACATGCCATCTGTCCAAAGAGATTTGGGATATTGAATGGGGATGCACCAGCTAACGCTGAGCATTAACGTTTGACTGGCTTCCAAAGCTGGAAAAGCCCAAATCTTGATTCATGAACAGTAGCCGTGTCACAGATCAGTCATAAAGCAAATGCATGTCGGTTTGCATTTTTACTGCAGCGTTATTATTGAGGCCGCCACCTCTTGATGGGGGGGGGAAAATATAGCTAGCACATGTGGGTAAGGGCTTATTGTGTTGATAACTGTAGATCTATAGTTGATGCACAGATGGTAAGTTTACTGATCTATTTAAATCAGTGAATGACACAGAGTAAGGAGTACTAGCATTGAGTTCTGTTCACAAAGTACATTTTGGGAGGGATAAAGAGTCTTTATGAAACTAAAGACTGCTGAATCTATTGAAAGAATGGAGGAGTGAGTAAGAAAGCGTTGCTGTTTATGTCCCTGTGAAGCTTTTCCTGGCTGCCTTCCCTCCATTTTCTTTTTGGCTTTGTTCTGACTAATTCCAATTATTTACTTTTTATTTTTTTCTACTGTGACACATGAGAGAAAACACATGCTGCAGGTCCTTAAATGGGGGCAGTCGTTTTGAATCCAGCAGAAAATGAACTAAGTACAAAATAACCTCTAGCTATGCATCAGAGCATTATGTCCCTTAATTTATCCGACTTTGCTAAACCTTTAAAAACATTAAAATGCGTCCCAAGTTCATGGACTGAACATAGTACGCATGGATGCATTTAAGGGCAAAAGGTCTTTTTCAGTTCTTAACCTGCTGATCAGGAGAAAATTGTTGCATACGAGTGATTTTTTCAAGTAGCCAACAGTTACCTAATTATCCATGGTGGTCTACTTTAGTACTAGAGTTGCATTGGGAAAACAAACAGCTACCATTTCCTCAAAGGATATTAAGTATTTGATTGTTGATTTTAAATTATGATCTTATCCCAGCAGAAAGGTTTTAGTTAGAGGGAGCTTTAGTGATCATTAAGCGCTTTTTGTTTAGGAAGTCTATCAATTGTTTGATCCCTGGGAAATAAAGAGTAATGATGTTACTTTACCCAGACTCTGACAGGCTCCCAGCCTGTCTAAATATGTTCATTACCATAACATGCTGAAAGCTCAAATGGACAAAAGCTTATTTGTTGCCCTCTGCTCAGTCTCCCTGTTATATGATAAAAGTCTCACTCCACTCGGTAAAGTTTTCCACTTTGATGACTGTTGCTGTCAGTGCACCCTCATAGCACACATGCTGGTGAAGTGGCTGATTTTTAACTCCCCTACTGGGAGTTTCACCACTGAAAACTGTACAATTATTTGGTCACTTGCTGATTTCCTGGTGCATCTCTTGTTTACAGACAAATCAGTATATTAGGCGGTCATGAAAACACAATAAGTTACTCACTTTGGGATTCACTTCACGCTCACACTGAACTAAGCAACAAGCTACATTTAATTTTACAGCTCTGGATTCCCATTTAAATTTGTTTCTCTAAATTTTTTTGGTGCCGGGTTCACATTGTGCGATTACTGGGGATCCTGTCAACCAACTCTTCAGTCCATTTGTGTGCCGATTTCCCTCTGACCCAATCAAAGATGGACAACAAACATCAAGTGCTGGCAGAAGTGTTTTTGGAAAGTCAGCGAGCCTGCTGCTGACCTGCTAGCAACGACCAAAGCTTCTGTTTCTTTTTCCAGCTCTAATAATTAGCGCATTGACACCAGTAACTTGTTGTCTCTCTTTATTGATTATTGTTTTTTTCTGTCAGATTGGTCTGATACAGTCCTGCAGATTCACCTCTTGCGTTTGTAGATATTTAACTGTTTAATGTTTCACGTCTTGGCTCAGAGCACAAATGAGAGCAGAGACGTTTAGATAATGCAAGTCCTGTTTTTTAATCAGGGAAATGTAATCTGCTCATCGTATGAAGTAACGCTTCCAGGCTGATGGGTATTGTGTCTGAACAGGTGCATGTGAATGTTAATGTGGTTATTAAGTTTAATTAGCTGTGAAAGTGTGATCCTATTTCTTTACCTTTACAGCAGTGGTGTACTTTAAACTGTTTGCACTGCGATTAGAGCGTTAACCAGCAGAATCATTACTGCTGTTATGTTACCCTCTTGTAATTTGTCGTCCTCGTTATTTCTCCGGGGTTTCTGACCTGAGCAAAAAGGCAGGACCTCGCGTTAAAATCAGGATTTTCTGCTGCTCTTTCTGCGTTTTTAGCTTCATATACTCGCTGGGTGTTGGATACCTGATGGTCTGCACTGGAAATTACCCCAATGTGCTGGCCTTCTGCTTCCTGGACGAGCTGCAGAAAGAGTTCATCATCACTTATGACTCCAAACGCATCAGCAGTGCCGTGCGGCCGTACTCCTTCATCGAATTCGGTAAGACTCTTTTGGATTTTGTGAGTAATGCGCTTCGCACTGTCATTATCTAGGTAACAAGACACAGTGCCAGCCACATTTATTAGCAACGCTGCTGAAGATGTGTGAAAAACCTTAAAGCAATCTAAGGTTTTATTGCAATGGTGTGATTTCACTGTGAAGAAAAAACATGCTTTTAATTTGAGTACATTTATTTAGTGATGAGAAAAACAATTGCTGGAACTCATGTTTTCAGAATATTGTACAACCTGCCATTTTCCAACAAAGTAGCTCTTGGTTTAACATTTCACAAAGTGGAAGCAGACCAATGAAAGCTGGTCAATAGGATCCTGGTCTGGATGCTGACTTGACCATGGAAGATGTTTGATTTTTAACCAAGGTTTTAAATAATTATGCTGGCGACCCGGTGGCACACAATCTTATTAGTGGAAATTATTAGATTTTATTTAAACTCTCCTGGAACTTCAAAAAGTCAATGACACTTTGCAGTCCAACAAGGTTTCCAGAGTTTTTGGAGGAGAAAGAGACAGATGCTTTATTGTTCCTAATAGTGGACATTAGGTGCTAGATGTGAGCATTTATTGTATCGTTTATCACTAAATATTGTGATAAAACCTCATCAACCAGCATAAAAAACAACAATTAACTTAGCTTTATCACAGTGTATTTGCCTCAGTAATGACAAACAATTGGATAAATTGCCCATTCACCGTAGAAAGACGGATTTTGGTCTTTGTCCAGCCCAGAGACCAAGTCATGGTTGACCTCAGGGAAACAGAAAGACATGTGGATTGATTAGAAATTCTTGACACTTTGTGCAACTTAAATAAAAAAAGGAAAGTCATTAAAACAGAGCTACAGTTATGTTTCTTTTAGAGACTATAATTATGCCACCAGTGATTTCATTAAAAATAACAATTTCTTCTCACCATCTGTTCTCCCCCCCACTACACTCATTTATTGTTCTGAAACTAAAGCTTGTATTTTTGCTATTTGGTGAGACGTGCCGTTGCCATAAAAGGTGGATCCGTTTTATTACAAACATCCCTCTGTCTGCACTCTGCAGAGGAAATAAGTAAAATCTGAGATGCATGCTGAGACTGAAGATGTTTCTCTGCTGCAAAGATGTTTACTCCTTTCAGAGACGCCGCAGCTTCAGCTTCCTTGTGTTTACGCCAAACAGTGTCCTTATCTCTTATACGCCGAGTGTTTATCACCCGTTATTTTGCTCCCCGCGGTACTAACCGCCTTGTTGTTGTGCTGACTGTCATCCCCCAGACACCTTCATCCAGAAGACCAAGCAGCGCTACAACAGCCCTCGCTCCCTGTCCACCAAGATCAACCTGGCTGACATGCAGACAGAGATCAAGCTGCGCCCGCCCTATCAGCTTTCCCCAGAGGACCTTCAGGCTATCAATGGATTCTCGGTGCGAGCCGCTTCTAAATACAAGGGCATAGGTAGGGCTCGAGCTGCCACCGCGCACAAAAAAGCCCTTTTAACATATGCGCCTTGTCCCTGGAAATTTCCATTCACATTCAGTGAAGGTTGAGTGGAAAAACATAACATAAAATAACGCTAATGCCTGCAACGTTCAAGAGTGTGTGCTGATGAGAGCTGGTGCATTTTGCTGACATCCATTTTGCTTTGCTTGCTCAAAAAATATGGGGTCTTGTGTGTCAACCCGAATGCACCTCCAGTTTTCCTCTTTCTTGATAAGAACAAGTTTGGTGCCTTTCAGAAGTATTCACACCGTTTTAACTTCTCCATGACTTTCTCCCGTCTGCTGTGAAGATTTAATTACAGACAGCTGTGGTCTGTTTCCTAATGAGTAGACCTGTCAAGATAACAAATCCACCTAGATGATAAATTGTCCCAGTAGTTATTGCGATAACCAATAATATTGCTGTTTTGAGACCATTTATGGTCAGTAATATGTTGATAATGGAATAAAAATACAAGTTCGCCCTGTGAAAGACTAATAAACTTTCATTTTTCAAATAACACTTAACACTGGAGCTGGAAGATGTTTTAACTATTACTATAAGTAAAACACAACAACCAAAGACAACAAATAAAAACACAACCGAAGCCATAAATAAAATGAATTATAAAGTTTGTGTAAATAAAATTGCCCATTAAGCAACATTAATAATCAGAATAATTTAATTCATCATGTGATTAATTAGTTTCTTATTGCAGCAGGTTTACCATGAAGTCATTTCTGAGTGTTTTCATAAGCAAAGGATTTAGTTTTGGGGTACCAGAGTACATTGGGGTTCAGTATGTATGCATGCAATACTACTTAAACTTCAAATATCTCAAATATCGTGTTACTCCATTAGTTGTTTTGCCTGTATGCACATTTGATGTTATATTATTTTAACAGGAAAAAGAGCTGAGGTAAATGTTTCATGTCTAGTTATCTCATTTTCTCTGTGGAACAGTTCAGTTTTCAATTTTAGACACTTCAAATCCTGCTGAAACTCCACTTTTCTAATCGTTTGTGTTTTGTTTTTACTACTCATCTGTTGACTTGGAGCCGTTTTGTTCCTAAAATGATGATTCTGAGCATTTCTCTCCTGGAGGATGAAGTTCTCTGACGAGACGTATTTCCCTGTATTACAACGTCCTAAACTTTTTGTGAATTCAAACACCTTTTGTCTTCAATATGGTGGCGTGCCCGTATCCTGCTTGCAGAGTGTTTCCAACACGACAGATGATTACTTTGCATGAAATGAAACGAATCCATGCAGTTACAGTGTGTGATGCTTGTCTATTTTTTCTCCCAGCCCCCACACAGATGTTGGAGCCGGCGACGCTCCCTGGCATTGTGTCCTGTGTGCTCAGCGTCCTCTGTGGAGGCCTGAACCTGCTGAGAGGTGTCCATGCTATAGAGAGCATACTACAGGTCAGGACTTACTGCAGGGACATTTGGATACTTGATGCAAAAACTTAACCAAAGAATCTTGTTTATAAAATCTCTATAGCCATGTCTTCTCTGTTGCTTTAGATGAACAATCGCTGCATATTTTAGTCTTACTC